CAAGTGTCAGCTCTCCTCATGCTATTGACATTGGACCTGGAACCCGAAAGGTTTCGCAGTTTACTAGGAAGAACACTGAGAGTCTTTGACCTCACTTTCCTCTTTTCTCCCAGCTCTCTCAATCCGAAGCCATAAATGGCCTAGGAAGTTGTCTATATAGCTGGTTGGTTAAGCTTTTTTATTTTCTTTTACTTTCTGCTCTGAGTCAGCCTGTTAACTCCATTGAGAGCAGGGACTTGTGCAAACCCACACCCGGGAGTGCCTTCTGCATTTCTCTGCCTTGGGATGGAGCCCTGATACTTCCAAAAATTCTCTGCCAAAAGCAGGACCAGTGCCAAGAGGCTGGCTGATAAGCGCTAACGTTTATTTCGTCCTCAGCGTATGCTCTCTACTCTGTAACTCATTTACTCTAACTCCTGGGAACCCCAGAGGTAGAGCCTATGTTTTTCCATCTTTGTAGACGAACCTGGGGAGAGGGATGAAGTGCCTCTCCCAAAGCCCACTGGTCAGAAGCAGCAGAGCTAGGAGTCTACATCCAGCACCTGCCTCCTGGGCCTTGTCCTTATCCACAGATATGGGGCCTCCCTCATAGCCCATTCCTCCCTCCCTGCCTCACTAGGTCTCCAACCTCAGCTCCTATCTCCTCCCGCTCTCCTTACCACCCTTCACCACAGGGTTTCCTTTCCTGTGCAGACACTAGCCAAGCCTCACCCTCACACCCCATCTGTGTCCCCAGAATCTTGAACCATGCCTGGCACATAGTAGATGTTCATTAAATACTGGATGAAAAGTGAGTAAATGGTTACCCTGTGCCAGGCATGAGATATTCTCCATCATCTCATTACATCCTCCTCCTAACACAACCAAATGGCTAGTTGGTTTTTTTGTTTTTTGTTTTTTAAATATTTTTATTTGATTTCAGAGAGGAAGGGAGAGGGAGAGGGAAAGATAGAAACATCAATAATGAGAGAGAATCATTGATTGGCTGCCTCCTGCACACCCCCTTACTGGGGATCGAGCCCGAATCCCGGCCATGGTGCCCTGACCGGGAATCGAACCGCGACCTTCTGGTTC